TATCACAATGTCCAAAGTGTTACCCCCTTCCTCCATATCACAATGTCCAAAGTATTACCCCCTTCCCTGTTATCACAATGTCCAAAGTATTACCTCCTTCCTCCATATCACAATGTCCAAAGTATTACCCCCTTCCCTGTTATCACAATGTCCAAAGTGTTACCCCCTTCCTCCATATCACAATGTCCAAAGTGTTACCCCCTTCCCCCATATCACAATGTCCAAAGTGTTACCCCCTTTCCCCATATCACAATGTCCAAAGTGTTACCCCCTTTCCCCATATCCCCCTTCCTTGCTATCACAATGTCCAAAATGTTATCCCCTTCCCTGTTATCACAATGTCCAAAGTGTTAACCCCTTCCTCCATATCACAATGTCCAAAGTGTTATCCCCATTTACCGCTTTATCACAAATATCAAGATTCTTTTACGTTTACAATACAGAATCTGCTCTGTTGATATATCCTATCTGATAAAAGACTTACCTTGACTAAGTTGTCAATTTCCCTGTCTCTTTCGGGTGTTTGCGCCATCTGTTTGAGTCGGCGGTATCTATCCATCAAGTTGTTGTACTCCTCATGTAAACGGCTGACTGTGTTCTGAAACACCTGATCTTTCGTCGGCTTGACAAGATCGTCCCCAGCCATTGTACTTGTCATTTTTTTCTTCGTATGATCTATGGCACGACCTTCCACATCACTACCATCCACTGTTACATCACCGTTCGACTGTGCACGGTTACTCTGAAACGGTTGTCTTTCTGAAGATTTCTTTTGCCTATTCTCATCCACTTTTTCATGAATATCATCAAATTTCATTCCAAGTCTAAATAGTTCTCCCTCGAGCTCTTTTTCTTGGTCGAAGTTCACATCTCCCACACTGGCATTGGCACGTTTTAACACATTATAATCCTCCTTCGATTGGAGATAATCTCGACGCAATTTTTCATGGTCTGTCCGAATTTTTTCAAACACTTTTTCCTGTTCATCGTGCGTCAATTGCTTTTCATCCAATAAAGTTTTGAATGATTCCATCTGCCAACAAATTGTAAGAAAACATTGTAAACTCTACAAGTGTGAGTATGCTGTTAACTGAATATCATCTACTGTTTGTATGTAGTTCAAGTAGGAATGTCTCAAGTCAACAAGTCCTGTTAATCCAGCCACCGTTAATCTGTTTGTCCCACAACCTAGACAGTGTTTTACAGAGGATATAATATCATCCCTTTTTCTACACAATATTATGCATGAAATCCTGTCAATACAATACAGCAGAGTTGGGTTGGAAGAAAGTTGATTTGGTTATCAAAGTTCCATTGTACGGTTAAACTTTGGTGCTAACAGGATCTGATTTATCCTTCAGGTGAATGGAAATTTTGAAAGAAATAAACACATTTTCCAGTTTTACCCCGTAAACATTCTCAGCTTTTGACAAGGGATTACAGTTTTGACGTCATATTAACTTGTTGAAATGCAAAAGGTCATAGAATGTCACTATTAACAGCTTTACAAATCACGGAATAAGTGGGAATGTCCCAACAAATGTTTAATACCTATATCCTGCACTATTTAAGACATTCAACTGTATCTGCGTAAAATGTTTTTATGTAAAACACCATTTCACGACTACGACAACATCACTCATCATGTACATTTACAGGATTAGCCTGTATGAATGGTGTCAATTTTTACCAATATCAGGTTCAGACTAAATGTATTCATTACATTTAATACCTTTTCATTACATCAAAAATAAGAAATTCAATCCATGTCTTCAGATTTCATATCAGTTCATAATGTGTCAACTATTTTGAACTGATACGAATATCATACACAGTGTATATGAATATAAAACTGCATATACCTCAAAGTGCTGAAATCAACCTCAACGTTAAACTCAAACGTCATCAATACATCTTTGCCACTGTGACTGAGCATAACAGGTCACAAAAGGCTAGGGGGTATTATCACCACAAGTTTTTATATCTATACACAGTAGAAGAAAGGTGTTTCAATCCTATGCTTTATTAGACGATATACGGTAACTTGGCTAAGTTCACCAACACCTTTCAGCATTATAAACGGCAGTTTATGGCAAGGTATGGTTGATTGATTCTATTACAAAGAGTATTGATAAAGAATACATATAGGTTTAAGCCGATTTTCTCGGTGGTGAATGACAAGTGTCAAATACAGGTAAAATGTCTCCGAGACAGTACTGGTACTGCTCTCTTGATAGTACGTGCCAAAGAAATGCTGAGTTAAACAGTTATATCCTGTCAGGTAAAAAAAATGAATTACAAACTTTCATGAAGTTTTCCCATTTTTATCGTTCTTTGATATGACACTACAAATAAAAGGACTGTGGTTTTATAGGAAGTTAACCTGGCATCAATGAATCACCACAAGTGTAAGATACTGTTCTTCTGTTATTTAAAATTGCTACATCTACCAAATGTCTTCATGAAAGACAAGTGCAAAATTTAGAAAATACAATCGAACTGGCTGAAAAGTCTAGTAGCATCAAATAAAAAAAATAAAAAATGACAGTAATTATAAATCAAGTTCTATAAACTTATACTTATCACTCTTGTTAGCCCTGATGGTAGAACACAGGAGTCTAAATTAGAAAGAAACTAGAGTATTCACAGAAAACCCATGTGGTTGATAACCCTTTACTTTTTCCAATCCAATCAAGGAATCAAACCCCTGCCGTCTTGGTGAAATGTAAGTGTGCTATCCATTGCACCACCCGACTGCCCTACAGTGGTAAACATGAACAAACCCAATCAGCACCCTGTCACTGTCACTAGTACCTATGTACCTACCCTATCATCAAGGCCATTTGCCTGAAAGATGAGACCAAGCTTGACACTTTCTGCTCCGTTTTCCGACGATAACGCCATGTTACGAGCCTCCCTTTCTGCGTTTCCATTGGTGAGTGCGGACTCTGACTGCGACCTAAACTTGGTCTTTGCTCCCTGTCCTTGGTCACTGTAAGAGTCAGCGAGGGTACTGTCTGGAATGACAACAAATGGGAATCTTGTTCAACTTCTATGGGAATCTTGTTCAACTTCTTGATTTAGGACTTATCTGCGAATGGCTTATATTACATGATATAAAAGATAAAACATGTTAAATGTATAGGTAATGACATCTCATTTCACTACATGTTAATTGGGATGTTGCTGGTGGAGTGTATAAAGCATCATTTAACAACATCAGTATCTTGGTTCGACCCAGCCAGGCACTTAACAAGCCATAATCTATCAGAGTAGGCAATCGTTTAAGATATCCCAAAGTTTTACTTAATACACAAACAATGTACATATTATACATGCCGCAACATTTCAAGACCAACTGGTCCCTGATATATCTTATTGAATTTTTTTTTTTTTATTATGTTACAAAATAGTCCTGATTATAATGCATAATTGACATGAACCCTTATCAATGAAAATGAAAACATGTTTAAACTTCCTACTTCACAGGTTAAAACTATACTGTCCTCTATTACCTACAGGTCTCTTGGAGGCATTTCATTTGACCAGACCAGTAAAAATTCAAATGATAATTTCCCTACACACAGGCCCTGATATAGCATCACATATAGCAATATTGTAACCATCACGTCATAACATTTCACAATATAGATTTAATTGTCATCGTGGTAATGACAAAACGTTGTGTTGATATTGATCATGGGAGTTCCCCTTATGCCATGACTGAACAGAAATAATATATCACATGACAAAACAGCTAAGGTAGAAAGTCCTATTCCCTTATGCCATGACTGAACAGAAATAATATATCACAGGACAAAACAGCTAAGGTAGAAAGTCCTAT